AAGAGAAAATAGAACACAACTGTTTTGTTTGGTTGTTTGTTTTGGTCCACAAGATTCACACATAACCAGAATTTTTACCATGGACCTCTGGAAATAAACCCCTGGGCTTTAGAATTTTTAGTCTTCAGTTTAAAACGGCAATAATTTCTCTGTGATTCCCCATCTGTTCACCTTCAGTTGCCCAGGATTATGTTTGTGACTATGTAATAGTATTATAACAAAATGTTGTGAAATTATCTCCAATTAAACAGAACACAGCTCTTCGCACTCCCATGTGCAAGTTAAATTTTTCACTAGTTCTTATAAAGTTTTCTTAAACATAAAGGTAATCTACCAGCTGAGACTGTTGTACAAAGAAACTGAACTAATAGGATGCATATTTGTAATGGAAAAGTTGTTTTCTGTCCACTCTCATTCATATGCTGAACTCTAAAGCCCAATGTGATAGTATTAAAAGAAGACCCTAGGGACGTCATGAGCTCATGAAGGTGAAGCCCTGAGGAAGAGAATATTCTTATAAAAAGAGGTGAAGATATGGGATTTCTCTGTCTTTACCCTCTGCCATGACAGGATACAAAACTGGGAAGCCAAATTTATCATGATGGCACCTTGGTGGACTTCTCAGACTTCAGAACCATGAAAATAGAAAATTTTTTTAAGTTGCCCAGTATTTGCTGTTGCAATCCATAACAATATGTGCATTTTCTTTGTATGCGTATATATACGCATATTTATGTATCTAAAATGTCTACATATATACATGTACACACATACATATTTACATATGTTCACATATATACACACACCCCAGATAACTATCTCTATATTGATACCCAAGTCTGTATCCACATTGAGAGATTTATTCTAAAAATATCAACTCATATTATTATGGAAGCAGTCAAAGTCCAAGATGTACCACCCACAAAATGAGAACTGGGAGAGCCAATTGCATAATGCTGGTCTCATTTTGAAGGCCTGCATATCAAGGAAGCTGAGGATGTAACTTCTAGTCCCACGATTTATAAATTTGAAAACCAATAAAAGCTGATGTTTCAGTTAAAATCCAAAGAGAGGAAAAGGCCAATGTCCCAGCTCAAGACATTTGAGGCACATGGACAGGTCAGACTTTTTGTTCCATTCAGGCCTTATTCTGATGGTATGAGGGCCATACACATCAGGAAGGGAAGCTGCTTTACTCATTCTACCAAAGCAAATGTTAATCTCAGCCAATAACACCCTCACAGAGATATCTAGTGTTTGACCAGTTATCTAAATAAGCCCTAGCCAAGTCAGCCATTACAGTGTCTACACTGAGAAAGCATTTTTAAAAATACAGTAGGTATCACAATCACAGCTGGTACATTAATATACAATAAAGATAAGAAAAGTAGTGTGAGGGCTGGTGATTTAGCCCAGTGGTTCCGCCACCTGCCTTGCAGGAGCAAGGACCCGAGTTCAATCCCCAATACCCCCCCAAAAAACAACAAAAAAACAAAAACAAAACAAACAAAAAACAAGAAAATAGTGTGACAAATTCTCTTTTACACAATTGAAATTATAACACTGAAATACTAAAAAATATTTAATTTTATTATAATGTGTAGAATGTATCTTTTATTTTGAATGGTACACCTTTCTTGCACTTTGAATAAGTAATCAACATCGATTTCCTCTGCATGTGGAGAGAATGCTTATGTGTTCAGGGGAAAACAGTGTGAGAGAAATAAAACATTTGAATTACTAAGCAAATTTTAAATTACTTTAGAAACTTGTCAGTGTATCTGGGCATTATTATTTAACTAATGTAAATGTTGATTTAATTTCTTCATATTTAATTTTTAAGAACATTTACTCAGGTGTTTCCTTGAAGCTCAAATGTATACATGCAAAGTGTGTACAACTTTAGGATTGACAGCAATTTCAAGTCTTCACAGACTTGCGGTGGAAAATTAAACAAGTGACAACCAGGTTCCTTGCCTGAATTTGCTTATTTTATGAACTGGAATAAAAATGCTTGTTACCAAACATTAAATACGGAACACTTTGAACTCCTTAGATGAAATACTTAATATGAATTTACTCAGCCTTGTAAATAAATTTAAAAAGTTAATCGACCTGCACAAATTTGTTACCAACCTTCCCTCTCCCACAGTGCTTAACTCGTAGTTAACTGAAGAAAATTAACATTTCTTTCTACTTCCTTCTTAGATATTAGGCTTATGGGGTGGAGCAGATCAGTGTCTGTAATTGGTGTGGATCTGTTATAATCCACTGAAGTCCTGTGTGCAAAAGTGATTCACATTAGGGTCAGATATACATAGAATCACCTCAGATATGTGAATTTGACCTAGATTTTAAAATAACAAATAATATTGATTTAGAAACTATGGATCTGTATCAAGAACGCTGTCTTGTGGAAAATCCTTACGTGAAACATTCAAGGAAACAAGTGCAGTATTAAAATTGGAATCCTTTTTATCCGCCTATCTTACCCCGAATCTAGTGACAAGCAAAAGTATTAAAAGACATAAAAAAAACAAAGGCCTGAAGATAATATGCTTTCTCGTTATCACTGGCTAAATTAGAAGAGTCAGAAGGAGAGAGAGAGAGAGAGAGAGAGAGAGAGAGAGAGAGAGAGAGAGAGAGAGAGCGCGAATCTTCCAATCTACCCACAGGGAACTCCATGTTGTTCCTGAAGCCCCAGTATTGAGTAAGCTCTATTGAAAACGGTGCTCTTCGGGGAGTTGCCCTCCATGTCTCTGACGTGTGGCTTAATAGGGAAGAGCTCTCAGCTCTAAGACCCAGCTATCATACAAGCCACACAATATTCTTGCTCGCTACTTTATTTCTTAATCACACATACTTCACCTTTAATATCAGTCAAGTACTTTGATATTTGCTAAACTTCAAAATATAATTTGAAAACATTTCTAGATAACAATCTATCATCATGTTCACTGCTTTACAAAAGGAATTTATATATGACAAAGATGACAACACAAAGCTTTAGGAAAAATACAGACATAACAATAAATGGATAAAATGGAGGAAATCAGAGTGGGGAAGAGAATCCAATATTAAAGAAATCCAATCCTGAAAGCTGGATATGATCCTTTTAATTTGCCTGAAACATAAAACACAATAAGATTACAGCTGGGAAGATCCACAGAAGTGGAATGCAATGAAAATGTTAAAGTTTGTAAAGGGAGTAGCCATGCCAAAGAAAGAAAGAGTAGAAGAGAAAGAATAAGTACTGGCTTCAGAAGACCAGCTTAAGGCCAAGGATAAACCATAACTCTAAGTCTGTATCAGAATTAAAAAAAAAAAAAAAAAAAAAAAAAAAAAAAAAAAAAAGAAAAATAGAAAAAGAAAAGTCATGTAAAGGTACAAGATCCCAATAATGAATGAAACTGTACTGTATACCTAAAATGTACCAATACACTCAGTGAGAGAGAAAAAAAGTGAAGACTGATTGCAGAAGGCCATTTGCGTCATTGTAGGAACTTGCACATATAAGAAGCCGGCCCTTTTGTCAGCTAGTATGTAAAAACGATGGCAGAATGGAAACGGCATCAAATATTCTACTTATATATCATGTTTATTTTAAAAATGAATTATTTAACAAGCATGCAATGGAATTTAGTATTGTCAAGTTTCAATACATATTCTTCAGTTAAGAGAAAAAATTATATTTAAGGAACATAGAAGAGATTTGAGATTGAGTTTGAGAATTATGCATGCAAAATGAAATTAAAGCCAAGCCTATATTAGTATTGATGTAGGACGCATATACTGACTTGAAAAGACATACATGTTGTTACAATCTAGAGACCATAGACCATGTTAATAATGATTTTTAATTTTATTGCCAGGAATTTACAAAGTGCCAGATTCTATCAAATTCTTCCTAATAACACAAAATAGTCCAACAATCTAGGTTTTAGATTTCATAAATTCATAATTTCCTAGCTAACACACTGGGTGTGAGACACTGATGATCAGTCACTGGTGAAGGCTGTGCCTTTCCAGAACATCCAAATTCAACTAGAAATAAGGATCTACTCTGAAAGAAATTCCTTCAGAGGTTCCAGTTTTCAGCACCTAGCTCTTTCAAAATTGCTTAGAATGTATACACACTATAAAATAATATACTTGCTTTTTGTGACCTCATACTTATGGATGTGTTGTCCTTAAGAATATAATAAATCCTCCTTAAAGCATTGCAGGTAAATAAAAATCCTCTCTATAGAAGTCTGAAAATATCCGGAATGTATAAAGGAATATTTCTTTGAGACAGCTGCATCTCAGAAAGATCCTAGATATTTGAAGAACATATTGAGAAAAGCATCTTTGTCAAAACTAGTTATATAAACAATTTTCCAAGTGCTTGTTTTTTCTCTTTCTCATTGAGTTTACTGGTACATTTTAGGGATACAATACAGTTACATTCATTGTTGGGATCTTGTACCTCTACATGACAGGTCTTGATTCTCATTTGTTCCCCTTACTCCTGCCCTCCCTTCACCCCCTCCTCACCTCCCCATTTACAAATACTTTATTTCCATTATTTTTAAAATTTAATTTTTGTACAGTCACTGTCCTTTGTTTTACAAAGTGCACAACTCCTACTTCATTTAGCCGTGTGGCTAGTTCACAAGGACTCAAATTTCTTATCAAAATTATCAGAGTCATTATTGTCAAAATAAACTCACAGTAAAAATACTTTTGAAGCAACAACAGCAAGTAAAGGTGAATTCCTAGCTGTGCTAGTCATACTTCCATGAGCATCAGAAACAAAGGAAAGTGTTTCAGCAGATTCCATCCCTATTGGAACAAGTGTTCCCATTAAGGAGGAGAGGGTGGAATCCAGGCATTTGATCGCTGAACTGGCTCCTGGTAAAGATGCTGCTACTGATCCATGAACACGTTTTGAGGAGCACTGACTTAGAGATGACTTGGGGAGTACAATATGTATTGAAAATTTCAATTATGTTTTTCAGAAAAATAAGTTCAACTGTGCCAGAAGAACTCGGTGCCCAGAAACCAATGTCAGTTCTGTGCAGATACAGGGTGATGCTGATTATTTCATCAACCATCTTGGAGTTCCCACCGTGCAGTTTACTTATGAGGACATCAGTGCATTAGAGGTGATTATTCCCACAAATGCAAAACATGCATACCCGCATAAACACACACACACACACACACACACACACACACACACACACACACGCACGCACAATGTAGCAGATGTGCAGAATGTGGTTTTATCGTGGTTATTCGTCTTTCATACCAAGTAGGTCACTATAGAAAGTGGCTTTAATTAGAGTTATTCTTGCTATTTGGAGGCTTTGTAAAAGTATTTGAAAACATCAGCTGTTCTCAGTAGTGTTGAATTCAATTTAAAAAGATTTATACTGTCGCTCACATTTTCACAGTGTGCTTTGCAACAAGAAATTTGCAGTAGTTGGATTAACATCAAAACATAATTGTAATCTTCAGTATTCACAGAAACAGATGACATATGCAATAGATTCTCCTTTCCTTGCCCAAGGGAAAATGCATTTCATGTGCTCTAAGTTAATAGAAGTCTTGTGAAATAGATACTGAAAGTTTTTCAACAGTTTGACTACCAAATAAGATACACTTTCTTAATGAAGGAAACATTTTTCCCAAAGGATATCACAAAAGTATTATTCATCTACATTAAATCTGGGTTCATCCATTTAGTGGCCCTCAATCCTATTACTCTTTCTCAGGATTGTGTCGCAGTTAAGACTCTGTAAATCTAAGTCTTTTGTAATATTTTACCTTAAATTTTAAGAAATTGTTCATATATTCTAAGGAGCTATTTGAGACATTATGTAACAGCCCTTTGAGGCAATCACTAAATGAACAAAATAATGGCTGAAAAATAGAGTAAAGCCTGATTTGCTCTCAAATATAGATGTTTCTGAAAAGAAATATTTAATTATGTTTGCATAGGCTGTTTTTCTTTTCCTCATGAGTTTATTGGTACATTTTAGAGATACAGTACAGTTACATTCATCATTGGGATCTCGTACCTTTACATGACAGGTCTTGGTTCTCATTTTTTCCCCTTGTCCCCTGCCCTCCCTTCAGCCCCTCCTCCTCTCCCCATTTACAAACACTTCATTTCCATTTTTCATTTTCTCATATTTTTTCTTTTCCCTTATTAGCTTTCCCCTACCCTTCCCACATAGGCTCAAATTTAAAAATACAATATCTTAAATTCTAATAGCTTTTAGCAATATGTATTATTATAATTTTCTTTTGTAAAATACATTTTATTTGTTTTCCTCACCACTACCCCCAGCTCCACTTAAGTTTCCTTGTAAACAGGTAAGTAGGACTAAAAGCAACTTACATTCGTGAAGGGAGAAACTCTCTGTGAGTTCTTCTGTGATGATATGTCATTTTGGTGAATGCAGACAAAATTATTGTGTGTGTGTGAGTGTTTTTAAATTAGGATTCTCATAGGCTAGTGTTAAAATAGGGTACATTAGCAAAGATACCTCTTTCTTTTATGTAAACTCAATTTGTGCTTTTTAAGAAATTGATGTATTATGAAATAATCCAGCTTTAATTTTCCTGCCCAATATCTTTTATATCTTTGTATCATTCTACCAGACTACCCAGCTTCTGTCATGTAAGCAAGCTGGATCGTAGCTCTTTTTAATATGTCTCATTAATTTTGGCTGAGTTTTAAAGTGAGAATTTACAGACAATCTAGAATGACTGTGGGAATAGAACAAAAGTTCTGACTCTGATGCCAGACAAATTATTTAACCTCTCTCCAGGCTACATTACAAATGGGGCACTTTGGTATATTTATGATAGCTGTTTTCTAGAGCTATGGTCATGGCTAATGGAAATTATGCATTTAAATATTTAGGCAACACTGGGCTCACACAAAGACCCTGTCAACTACAGTGATCATTTGTGATTGCAGGTTCAACATATTAGTGAGAACCTCCTAAACTTTTTAGAAAAGAAGATATCAGTCAAAAGGATGAGCTTAATTATTAAGAATAATCAACTTCTTAGGCTGAAAAGGTGGAATTTGATGATGTTTAGCTGGAGGATATGATGTGTTGCTAGAAAGAAGATTTAGAATTAGAGCCCACTGGAGGATTAAGAAAGTGTTAATACCACTGTGAACCTCCTGAGGCTGTAGGTTCTCTATTAGAATTGGTTTAGTATGAGGAAGCTAAGTAATTTTTCAAATAATACCCAGAATGTATAACTCTCATCATCAAAATCATTTTATTATATTACTGTTTCTGCAAGAATAATTAAAATGGTCTCCTATGTTTTATAATAAATGATCTTGCTAATATTGACTTAGTAGGGAGGACTTTTTAATGATTTGTCCCTAACAAATTTATTGCTGCTTGCAATGAGATAATTTTTTGTGATCTCTCTAAAGGGCAGATATTAACCTTTATTTTCTGTGTTAACCTACAATAAATAATTGTATACAGCTATTAAGCAGAATTATAAATATAGAAGTTTATTATCCATGATGTAAAAAATATTTATACTATTTCAATTAGAAAGGCAAGCAAGGAAATAAGAGCCCTGTCATGAATTTGTTTGCATTTAAAAATGTAATTTCCACATATAATCTATGGGGACATAGCTTGGTGGATTGTGAATCAGGCATCGTGAGCTTTCAAATCTCTGCCTATCAATGGTCAAGTTAAATAAGTCTCTGGGCTTCTTTTTGTAATTAAAACATTATCTATCTATCTATCTATCTATCTATATATATATATATATATATATATATGTAATTATGAGCAAAATAAAACAAAGTAGTATATATCACCCATTGAGCACTTGGTAAGTCAAGTATTCCAGACCTCTTATTTAATATTTACAAAGTCTTTGTAAGTTAGCTATTCTTATTCATTCTTTTATTTGTTTGTTTTTGTTTTTTCGTGACAGTGTCTCCCTGTGTAGTTTAGGTTGGGCTTCAACTGAAAGCAATCCTCTTGCCTCAGCCTCCCAAGAGCTGAGATCACCACACTCAGTTCATTCATTTCTTTCTTGCTGAGGATAAAATGGATTTAATTCAAGTAGTTTATCTAAGGCTATGAAATATACTAAATGGCCAAGATAGATTACAACCTAATATTTGTTTGATACTAAATCCATGTTTTCAACTTTTACACTAAAGAAGGCAGATGAGAAGCCCAGTGCAAGATTCACTCCTGGATATATTTTGCTTACCTATGTTCTCTGTTACAAATCGGATTTGTGGAAACACTGGACTCAGCTGACTGAGCATTGCTCCCCAGCTTGCCATTCTCTTCATTAAAGAATCTTTCATGTTAAGGCCAGGCGTGGTGGCACATGCCTGTAATCCTAGCACTGGGGAGGCTGAGGCAGGAGGATCACTGTGAGTTTGAGACCAGCCTGGTCTACATAGTTCCAGGTCAATCTCAACTACATAGTTAGACCCTGTCTCAAAAACAAACAAACAAACAAACAAACAAAAACAAAGAATCTTTCATGTTGTTTAATCAATAGTACAGTTGAGCAAAATATTTTCTTCAATAACTGTTTCTATAAAAATTTGAGAATTAAATGATAACCCAGAAGGCCATGGTTTGCCAGACTACCTCTGGTATTACCTTCCTGGTCCCTGAAAGAACTGAATTTATTCTTTTTGCATTCACTTTGAGTAAAAGAGTTAAAATGAATAATTTTACTGTTGTTTCTACTTTTTAAAAAAATGTATGTTCTAAGTAAGCAGCTAATTTTACATTTTATTCACTCTTTGAAAGTATTTAAAATTTGCTTTGGTGATTATATTGTAAGCTTTAGGATTTCTGTTAATACATTTTCACCCAGTAAGACTGATGATCATGGATCAGTTACAGTATCCCCTCTTGATATCTGCAGGTGATCGACCCAAGAGTCCAGTGAATGCCTGAAATGGTGGAGAGTACTAGACTGTGTAATACTGCCTTCTCCTGTACACACATATATGCATATGATAAAGTTTAGTTTTCAAATTAGGCGTAGTGAGAGATTAACAACAATGAAATATAATAAAATAGAACATTTATAATAGTCTGTACTAACGTTGCCAGCACTATAACTTTTGCACTTTGGGGCCATTATTAAGTAAAATAATGTCTATTTTAACACATATACTCTGACAGAATAAAAGTCAGTCGGTAACTGAGATGGCTACCAAGTGACTAACAGGTTGCATAAATACTGTGGACACACTGCACAAAGGGATAATTCACGTTCTGGGCAGAGCAGGGCAGGATGGTGTGAGATATCATACTACTGAGAACCGCACATAATTTATTACATAAATTATTTCTGCAGTTTTCTATTTAATATTTTGGATCATGCTTTACTTCTGGAAAATGAAACCGGAATACCAAACCTTAGACAGGAGGGATTATTGTCTATTTGATTTCAACAATTAAATTGTGATGATGGGGGGAATTTGAGTTGTAAAAAAATAAACTAGTTCCATGTAGATAAATTTTTAGGGATATATGTGACATCGTTTTTTTCTATTTTTTAATGGAAATTGATGTTTTATAATTTTTATCCCTATTATTTCATGTTCTCCACACTCCCAGATATAATTGTTTCCCATAGTTTCTTTGGATGGAAGTATATTGTTTGCAATTGTTTAAAGATCTATCTAGCTTTAGCTTTTCTTGGCATCTCTACTTTAATTTTCCAATAACTACATTTCACTAGTACAGAACAATCTATGTATTGCCAAGTGCTAGTATCATTCTTCCTCATAAGATACTGCCTTGTAAATTGGAACATACCTGGCTATAAGTCTCATTTAAATAAGGTTTTAAATTTGTAAACATTGCTGCACCTGTTAGGAGAAGCATTCTATGCAGATTAAACACAATGCAGAGATTGCTGAAAAGAAAATGAAAAGACAGATGCTTTCTGATTAAGAGTGTAATATTTATGAGAGGCTGGTGGTCCAGGGTACATTTCTTCTGTCACTTACCAGCTGTTTCCCATAATTATTGTTCCAGATCAGTATTTCTTTTCCCTATAGGATATGTGAGAGGGTTGGTATTGTTAATATGTATATCAAAAGGTCAATTCATGCCAAGCAAACTTACCA